AAGGACTTCCCAAATGAAAAATATCATCATTTGGCAAACATGTTCAAAAACATGAAAACCTAAAAATTGATATTTTGATATTTTGACTTAAACAACATTTTGAAACCTTATGAAATGATTGTATAGACTTGATAAAAGATATAACATGTTGTTATGAAGTCTATAACCTAGAAATATAATATTTTCATAAAATTGCATGTCTATGCAATATATTCAAAACACTAAATATAATTTCATTTAATATAAGCTTGTTTTAGGTGAAATCATATATATACATATAAGCATGAAACAAAATAGTATTTTCCAATTCTATGCATTTGTTTCATATATAAACTCGAAAACTATAAAACCAAAAACATATGTATAAATAGTATTTTCCAATTCTATGCATTTGTTTCATATATAAACTCGAAAACTATAAAACCAAACACACACACACACACACACACACACACACACATATATGGGAATCATTTGCAAATAAAGATTTTCTTTTAAAATTATTTTGCAAATGAGAAACATTCTTAAACAATGGTCTATTTGGAACATATTGCAATTTAGAAGCTTTTTGTATATCAAAACAAAATTTAGCAAGATGTCCAAACCTACCACAAACATCACATTTAAAAACATGTGGTCTATTGGAAGCATTTGTCAAATGAGATTTTCTTTTCAAATCAAAGCAATATTTGGCCAAATGACCAAAACGACCACAATAATCACACTTGAACACACTAGCATGCTTATGATGAACTTTGTGAGAATGAGCATGTGAATGTGTAAGTGTACAAGATGAAGAAGCTACATGAGATGCACAAGGAGCATTAGAATTCTTATGTTTGTGTGCATCATAACAAAACTTAGCTAAATGACCTTGACGGCCGCAAATAGAACACTTATAAGTTTTGCTATACATGTGTGCATAATGAGTGGATGATCTTGATTTAGCACACATATCCATAAGCTTCTTATGATTATTAATGCATGTTTTCAAAGTTGAATCTAAAGATGAAATACTATTTTTCATAAGATTCAAATCTTCATTTTTAGGCACATATGCATTTTTAGAAGTAGAACATAAATAGTTATTTATAAAAGAAGCTGTATCATTCTTTATGTTCTCTACTTCTAACATGGCATCAATCTTAGCATGAGATAGGCTAGCAATAGATGAAATCAAATTTCCATTTTCCAAATTTAATAAGTCATTGCTTTCTTTAAGCATAGTATTTTCATTTTCAATGACATCAAATTTGGACACTAGCTTCTCATGATCGGATTTTAAAATATCATGCTTGCTTTTTAAATCATTAAAATCATTTTGCAATTTGTTATAGGCATGTAATAATTTTTCACTAGCACAAGCAAGTTCATCACTAGATAAATCATTAATGGATTCGAACTCGCAAACCTCACTAGGGCTATCGCCTAGTGCACGTGTGCATGAAGCTCCATATGAACTTGAAGCGGGATCCTCCAAAGCTTGTCGGATCGCCTCCAAGTCTCCTTGATGCGCTTCTATGAATTTCCATAATGTATAAGCGCTATCAAAAGAATCAAGCTTGTTAGACATAAATGAATCAAATGCATTTAATAAAAATTCTAACATAAGCTTGTTCATAATAAACATCTTTTTATCATGTTTGCTCCACTTGGATTTCTCCAACGTGGGCACAATATAAGCACAATCAATGATTTCCCATAAATCGATATTTTTAGATTGAACAAATATTTTGAATCTAAAGCATCATTGAGCATAGGGGAAAACATTTAATCTAGGAGCAATATTGATGGCATAACCTAAACCATGCATATCCATAATATAAAAGGCAAGCAAGATACAAATAAAGCTCAAAATTAGATTAGCACAATAAGCTAACTTGGATCTTTAACTCAAGGCGATTAGACCTTAAATCAAAGAGCACCAAGCTCTGATACCAATTGTTAGACCCTAGAGGGGGGGTGATTAGGGTCTTATGCTAATCTAATCCGATTTTATGCCAATTAAAACTTAATTAATAAGTTATCCTAGCAAGTATGAAATACAACAATGTATATGAGCTAGGATAAGCAATATGAACAACAAGATATATCCTAACAAAGAGATATAGGCAATGTATGTGCAAGGATATATAAACTCAAGGGTAAACAATCTAAACTAGATAGTGGGCAATATAATCAACAAGCAATATACAAAGGCGATATAAGATATAAACATAAAAGAAGTGCGCCAATGCAATCACAAACAAGCAATATGATTACGGAGTTCGGTCCCCACGACCTACGTCTCCGCTCCTCACCTCGAGGAGATCTCCACTATCACAACCGGGTTTTCTACGTTCACCCGAACAACGTTTACACCTCACAATACAATCACTATGTAATCACACCTCACACACTAAGTGTTGGTCCTAGCCCGTGTCCTCCTCCTCAAGTGCTCGGTTACAACCTCTCCCTAGGCACGTCAACCGACGCCACTCCTCTTGGATTCGACCCCGTCTCTCACCACACACTTCTCTCGGTGTACAAGTGTATTACAAGTGAATCCTCACAATTAAGCACAATATAAATCAATTGATTGTTCTCTAAACAAGATGAGAACTCAATTAAGCTCACTCTTAATGTCACAAACCCACAATCCTAAATTATACTATGAATGTAAATACAATAAGCTCAATAGGTTGTGTGTGAACAAAGAGATAAAACAATATAAACTCAATATGAAATCTAGCTTATGAAATTAAGAACAAACTTATAAAATGCTAGAATTGAGTTTAAGGAAACTTCTCTATAGATGACAAGAGAGAGGGAGAAGAATGAATGCTCAAACACCAAGGATGATCTCCACTTGCTCTTGTGAAATTGAATTCACAAACTCAAACCCTCAATTGCTTAAAAGCTTCTTAAACCAAACTTAAACAAACACTAAACAAGTTTAAACCCTTGTTAAACTATTTTAAAACATTCTCTAGAATCCTTGAGAGTTGAAGACAATGGGGTATTTATACCCTCTCACAACTCAGCCAAGAAACCAGAGCAAAAAGACAAAAAGGCCCCCAGAAAAACTAGCTCAGAAATAGCCGTTAGAAGTCCAACGGTCACATTGTCGGTCGACCGAAAATTCCGTCGGTCGACCGATGGAAAAATTCGGTCGACCGATGGAAAGTTCGGTCGACCGTTATCCAGGTCGAAAACAGGAAATCAAGCAAACACTTATCCGGTCGACCGGTGCGGTCGACCGAAGGAAGCTCTCGGTCGACCGCGGCGGTCGACCGACGAACTCTCTGGAGCCTACTGTCGAAAGAACAAACGAGCGGTCGACCGGTGCGGTCGACCGAAAACTGATATGTCAGGTTCTGAAAACTGTTTTGCTGATTTTAAAATGCTGTTTAAAAATATCAAATAAATTCCAAAAAATGTAAAACTTTGGGGAATGATTGTAGACATGATAATACACATGCTACAAAAACTGGTTTTCTAAAAAGACTTCCCAAATGAGAAATATCATCATTTTGCAAAATAGTCCAAAACATGAAAACCTGAAAATTGATATTTTGATATTTTGACTTAAACAACATTTTGAAACCTTATGAAATGATTGTATAGACTTGATAAAAGATATAACATGTTGTTATGAAGTCTATATCCTAGAAATACAATATTTTCATAAAATTGCATGTTCTATGCAATATATTCAAAACACTAAATATGATTAACTTATTAATTAGTTTTAATTGGCATTTAATCGGATTAGATTAGCATAAGACCCTAATCACCCCCCTCTAGGGTCTAAAACTATAAAACCAAAAACATATGTATATATATATATATGAAAACCAATATAATGTGTGTGTATAGATATTGAGCTTAACGTACTTAACACACATAATATAAAACCTAAACTAAGTTATCCAAGCTTGATCTGGTCTTCAATGTAGCTCAACTTGGTAAACTCGCGGATGAAGCTTGAACTTGATCTTTGACTTTGAATTGCATAAGCTTCAACCCGACATTCAGCCAACCTCCTTTGGATATCATCGTTGAAGCTCTATTCCATCCATCCTCCAACAACGTTGTTTGTCTACAAAACATAGGAATGCACAAACACTAGACAAACAACATTAGTAATAAATTATTTGTTAAACATCATCAAAACAAGAAGGCCAACAATAACGTCTTAATAAAAAATAAAATAGAAGGAATGAAATGCACTATTTTCTGAATATTTTATAGAATAGGTTTTTTTGAAGTAAATTAGGAACTTTTGGAAGGGATTTTCATAAACTTTTTTCAATACTTTTATATGCTTATGTGGATGTTTTCATTATATAAAAGTGTACTAGATTTAGTATTAATCTTTATTTTATGATTTTTTTAAAGTCTATCAAGGATTAAGAACAAACTCCATATTATCTTTTGTGTCATTTTAGCCCACTTTTAACCAATCATCTTGTCTTATGATATTTAATTATTCAGTTTCCTTTTAGAACGCTATTTTTTAAAGTGTTTTTCACTTTTACAATGCTATATTTTCTCAAGTCAAGATTGGTTTCATGTCGGTCTCAATGACATGATAATTCAAATTGATTTCGGATAACATTTATTTCCTGTCGGTTCAATTATCAATATAAAAATTTAAATTGGGCGTAGTTCATTTAAACGAATATTAAAGAAAATAATAATCACAATACTAAAGTTTAGAGATTTAAGTAAGCAAAAAACCATCAAAGTGAAACCGAGGAACAAGTTTTAGTAAGAAAATAAACCAAATATACTTAATCATGATATTTGACCACGTGTATTGCACGTGCATAAAACCTAGTGACTAGTGAGCCCTAAACTTTCAGAAGTTATCGGGAGTTACCTGATAATCTTCTAAAGTTAAGGGGAGTTTTATGATATTTGGCCTAAAAACTAACTTTAACCTTTTTAAGGCGTTTTTAATTTTCTAATAAAAGAGCATAAACAAGCGGTTTAAAGAAAGTTTCGATCCCGTCAAAATGGGAGGGAACCAACGAACCGCCATTCCCTTCTCTCTCCCCACTCCTCTCAACCTCCCGCCATTTTCTGCGTCTCAACGATCGTTCAACCTAGGGTTTTCTCTCCGATCCGATCACCGCCGCCGCCGGTGATCTCACCGACAGATCGGAGATGGACGGCCTAGGCTCCTCCTCATCCTCCTCCCCCCACCGGAGGAGCTCGTCGGTGTGCAGCTCCTCCAGCAAGAAGATGTCCTCCGACGCCACCGCCTCCGCCGCCGGAGGAGGAGGATTCCAGGTCGTCACGCCTCGAAAGCCTCCGCTCTCTCGATCGACGTAAGATGCTCTCCCCTTTCTGTGGCAATCCTTTAGTCTGTCGCATTTTTCGCATAATTTTCTAATTTAGTCGCCAAGGTTTTGATTCGGACTTGGGGGTAGCTCTAGTCACTAAAATATTGAAGGATCGCTTGAATTTTGATGAATTTGATTTGAACTTTTTTCTAGCTTTTGATGATAATGGACTCATAGAAATATCTTGTTTGGTTAAATATAGTTGTTACATTTGATGATTGATGAATATAATTTGCTTTGAAGGAACTGACTTACTCATATTATTCATGAGTATCATGAACTATCAGTGATATCGCAAAAGTTACTGTAAGTTATTTTTATTCATGAGGTAAATAAATACTGCAAACTTCCAAATCGGTAAATTATGCCACATGCTATTACAAAAACTATATGACAATTTTATGATAATACGTTAATTCTATGATAGATATCTGATAATATACAAAGTTTACTATAAATTACGGACTTTATTTGAAAATTCATGGTGCTTTTGTAAATCATAAAAGTTCAAGGTATTTAATTAGTTCATAGGTTGTTTGCTGAAAATTTGCAGTATTTATTGTGTTTATTGTTGTGACCGACGGCGGCGCCGAGGAACCAAAACAAACGCCGATCCAAGAAGGCCAAAAACAACCAAATATCAATGCACAAACCAAACACCAATTTTAACGTGGTTCGGCAATTGCCTACGTCTACGGGGCAAGAAGGGGGAGGGTTTCCACTAATAAAGAAGGAGAGTACAAATTAAGATTACAAATCGCTCAAACGAACCAACTAATCTCACCAACAAATCTCTCAACCTCTCAACCAATAACCCTAACAAATAGCTCAGAAAGATCTCTCTTTTTGTACTCAAAATCCCCCAAAACGCACCTACAAAACCCTCAAATCGTATTGGTATTTATACCAAAACAGAAACCCAAACAGACTACAAATAGGAACCTGAACTTTCCAAAAAACCCGTCATAAGTCGACTTATCAGTCTGCATAAGTCGACTTGGCAGAGCAAAAAACAACTGGAGAAGAGATCATAAGTCGACTTATCAGACCTGATAAGTCAACTTGCCAGAGCCCAAAATCAACAATCCAGAGCAGATCGTAAGTCGACTTACGACACAAACATAAGTCGACTTACCATAAGTCGACTTATGCCTGTGCATGAGTCGACTTATGACCAAAAATCTGTTTTTTCCAAGTTCTTCTCCACAATTCTCTACCTCGGCGAAGTTTTCCCAAAACTGAGCCGACACCAACCAAACAAATGCCTCACATAATAAGACCCAAATGAGAGTGTGAACACTCACGGATCTGCAACTGATAGCGGCCCCAAACTGATACAAATCAAACACCTCCATCTGAGGTAAACCAATGGCCGTATCCAAATTATGTCCACCAGCTATAACCGAGTCGAAAACCAATCCATCATCTGCATCCGAAATCAAATGATCCCCAACCTGTGTCACCTCAGCTGGAATCCCAAATGACGTAATATGATCTGGAGTGCGTGGAGTAATCTTCACCCAACGTGGAGTAGCATCACTCTCCACCTGCTGTGATATCCAAACGACCTGATCAACACTCTCCACCTGGCGAGAGTCAAAAGTGACATACCTGCTCAGAACAAAATCAGAAGCTCCCAAACGATAATCAACTGAGCCTCCGAACCCCAAACACGCAATCGGATCAAATCTCACATCCTCGATGTGACCAAATGCTGGGTATCCAAATATCCGACGCAACCCAAAATCTGAAGCAGCTCCACCAGATCCAATAACTCCTAATGCAGCAGGCGGCGACCTGTGACTAAGATGACCCAAATATGTCGAAGCTCCAGAACCAATGCTCGACAACCAACGTCGATTCTCCTCTAGAAATGAACGACCCATCGAAACTGTCATCTCATCTCGTCGCCCCAAAGTCTCCACACCAATGAAGTGTCTCCTACTGCCGTGAGCTCGGCACAAACGTAAGAAAGGACCCCTACCAAAGCTGAAACAACGAGTTACCTTTCTGCCAATACACTTCTTCCAACTGTTGTTGACTTCTAGAACTTTACACCAATGGGAACTGGTCGCGATCCAATAATGCCTAGAACAATCAACTGCGAAAACCAAGATACGATTACCTCCCAATGATGCCTCCTTGGAAGGCCCCCAAATGCCTGACTGAACACCTCCTAAAAGACCCCTCGCTCGATGGATAGGAGTGTCAAACTCCACCACGGTCTTACTCATCCCAATGTGCTCACAGGACTTCAATCTGCAGGTCATAGCACTCCTCAACAACCAATGCACGGCATTATCAATCATATACCCCAGCACCAAACAATGTCACAGTCTAGCCGAATCTGATGAAGTCGTCATCTCCTTATCAATCATCGTGCTTCCGTGCAAATAATATAAATTTCTCCTTCTGACGCCCTTCATCACAATCGTGGACCCAAATATAACCTTCAAGCGTGCATCCGCCAATGTCACCCTATAGCCTGCTACCTCTAAAGCTCCAAGTGAAATGATGTTCTTCTTCAACTGAGGAACGAACCTCACTCCAACCAACTCCCGAATCACCCCGTCACTCATCCTGATCCGAACGGTACCGATACCACCAATAGAGCATTTGTGATCATTCCCCATGAGCACGAAATCCCCTCTTTCCAACTCCTGAAAGCTGGAGAACCAATCCCTCCTAGGGCAAATATGGTATGTAGCCCCCGAATCCAACATCCACTCTGTAGAGTAGGTAACACAAACTGACGACAGTGCAGATAACGAGTAGCCCGAAGAATCCGAATCTGAATCGTTGCCATTTGTCTTGACAACATTCGCCTCTGAAGCTTGAATAGCTTTTCCCTTATTCTTCCCGGCTCGATCAACTAACTTTGGGCATTCGGCTTTCCAATGTCCATCCTCTTTGCAAAAGGCACACTGATTCTTACAAACTCCAAGATGTGCCCCTCTAGACTGCGACCTCCCACTACGGTTTGGACCCTTTGCTCTTGCGACCAACGCCCCCGCTACCGGCTCAAACGAAGTCTCCTTATCCTTCTTTCGAAGCTGATAATTCACAAGTGCAGCGGTGACCTCACTATACGAAAGAGATGCCTTCCCATTAATAAGAGTAAGAACGAAGGTCTCATATTCCTCGTCAGGCAAGGAACTCAATAGCAACAACGCCTTGTCCTCATCTTCAATCACCACATCTACATTCGCCAAATCCGCAAGAAGCTTCGTGTAGTGGTTCATGTGATCACCAATGGAGGTTCCTTTCTTCAACTGGAAGCGGTAAAGCCTCCTCTTCAAATGCAAGCGATTCTCCACACTCTTGGTCAAATACTTACTCTCAAGGATCTCCCAAATCTTCTTAGCAGAAGTCTCATTGATCACATCATACTTTAGATCTTGAGAGAGACAAGACCTAATCACACCACACGCCGTTCGATTCATCTTTTTCCAAACCTTCTCATCAATGTTGTCCGATTTCCCGACCAACTCCAACGTATCTTCCAAATTTTGCGTGTTGAGCGCATCCATGACTTCGCATCGCCAAAGTCCAAAATTGTTTATGCCATTGAACTTTTCCACGTCAATCTTCATCGAGTGGATATTCAAGCTTTGGACGGTCTTCACGTCGGGCGGAATTACCAAAAGGTGGGTTGAGAAGAGGATGACCAAACACAAGAACAATTCAGTATAAGGCGAAGGAAAATACCTTCTCTAGATTATGAAGAACAAAAGATTACAATCTCTCCCTCACAATCTCACTAGAATCGAGAACAACATCTCAATCCTCTCTAAACCCTAATACAATTATTAGAATTTCTCTTCCCTTAGGTCTGATTGTTTAGAACCCTAAAACAATCCTATTTATAGATGTGCAAACGTGGATGGCAAACTTGTAAATAAACAAGCCCAAAAGAATCAGGAATCCCTGTCAAAACAGAATCCAAAACGAAACAGGAAACCCAGAAATCGCGATCCGGTCGACCGCCAGGCTTAGTCCGGTCGACCGACCAGAGAGTTTTCTCAAACCCTGCACCGTGCAGGTTTTCCGGTCGACCGGCATGTGTGCTGTGGTCGACCGGCCAGAGATCTGCCAGTTTACCCTGTTCTTTTGCGTTTCGCTCCTGTTGACTTCTTTCACCGTCTTCTTTGGCTCCATCCATGCTCCTATTCCCAAGATATGAGAATCTTCTATCCTCAAGCTCCCATGAGGATCGCTAAGCTCCTGAAGAGAAGATACACCCGTATTAATAGGCCAATGCACAACTACCCACCTCTAGTGTTCCGCTCAAAAACTAAACTAACATTAAGAGTACCTCGAATGTACCTCAAAATCTATCTCACGGCATCCCAATGACCCGAATGTATACTTCTGAGCCCGCCTCTCGTAGATCGCATATCTATCCCATAAGTACGGATTGCCCAGTATAATCTGACAAACATCCAATGGAACTACGTCGCATGTGACCTCGTCAATATACGACTCATGGAGCGCAAATCTTACAGTGCATTGATCAACTACACATAGCTTCTTCTCCTTCCGAATCCACCCCAATGGATAGGGCTTCGGATGCTTGACCGTCTTCAGACCCAGCTTCTGAACCAAGGCTTCGGATATCAAATTCTTCTCGCTGCCCGGATCAACTATGGCATCAACTAAACTGGTCTTCACTTGCAACTTAAGAACAAAGAGCTGCTCTTTCGGGTCGTCGTCCTCTTTCGTGGCCTGTTTCCCTGTCATAAGATTGAGACTGCTATTAGGCTCTGTCATCCCCGGGACTTCTTTCGGACCTTGAGCTATCATGTATGCTTTTTTTTCCTCCTTCTTCTTCAACCCTCTTGGCTTGAGATGAGGATACTTCTCCCAGCACCAATCAGCTTCGTGCCCTGTCTTCTCGCAGTGACTACAAATCAGCCATGTTTTCCCTGGATCACCCTTCTTCTTCTCCTCCTTAAACTGAGAACCACTAGACTCGCCTCCAACTTGCTTTGCATCCCTCTTTGCTTCGTTGCTCTTCTTTTGCTTGCCCTCAATGGCAATGGCCTTCACGCTCGCATCTGCAATAGTCTCGACCGTGAATAACCTCATCTCCTTTCGGATGTAATCGCTCAATCCCGCCATATACTTCATAAACACGGAATATTCCTCTGTCGCAATGTTAAGAACCATTGCCTGCTGTTGGAACTCCGTAGTGTATTCTTGAACGGTTTGATTGACCCTTTGGCACAAACTATACCACTTGTACCAACGCTCCTCAAGGAATCCCACCGGATAGAACTGTTTCCTAAGTAGCTCCTTGAACTTGTTCCACGACACCGCCTTCTTCTCCTGCTTGCAGTAGGATTTCCACCATGAAAGCTTCAAAGTCGCGAACACAATCTTCTCTTTTGACGAATAGCCATAAAGAGTAAAATACGTCTCCATCCGCTCGATCCAGTCATCAAGCCTCTCGACGTCAACACTCCCATCATAAATAAGAATCTCCACTCTAAAATCAATCTTCAGATTCTGGTAAGAATTCTTACCCCATTGATGCGGTGCAGCCTTGACGGTCTCGTCTTCCTCGTCGGAGCCTGAAAGCTCGCTCTCTCCACCGGACTCTATAGGTTTCTTCTTAGACCTAGAAGAAGATTCCCCCTTTTCGTTCCCTCCTTGGATGAGACCGACGAGTTTTGTGAGCGTCGACCCTATCGTCTCGATCTGCTTCTCTAATGCATCAATCCTCGCTGAATTATCTCCTTCCAACGCTTTCGTGAGGTCTGTGTTTTGATTGAACAGTGTGCCACTGAGGGCTGCGTTCAACTTGGCTTTCATGGAGCTCATGCTTGGGCTCGTGCATGTGAGGCACGCGTTTTGAAGAAATACTGATACAAGTCGTCGTGCGAGCACTCTTTGGTCGCGGAATTACCAAAAGGTGGGTTGAGAAGAGGATGACCAAACACAAGAACAATTCAGTATAAGACGAAGGAAAATACTTTCTCTAGATTATGAAAAACAAAAGATTACAATCTCTCCCTCACAATCTCACTAGAATCGAGAACAACCTCTCAACTCTCTTTCTAAACCCTAATACAATTATTAGAATTTCTCTTGATCACTTCTCTCTGAGATCTGATTGTTTAGAACCCTAAAACAATCCTATTTATAGATGTGCAAACGTGGATGGCAAACTTGTAAATAAACAAGCCCAAAAGAATCAGGAATCCCTGTCAAAACAGAATCCAAAACGAAACAGGAAACCCAGAAATCGCGATCCAGTCGACCGCCAGGCTTAGTCCGGTCGACCGACCAGAGAGTTTTCTCAAACCCTGCACCGTGCAGGTTTTCCGATCGACCGGCATGTGTGCTGCGGTCGACCGGCCAGAGATCTGCCAGTTTACCCTGTTCTTTTGCGTTTCGCTCCTGTTGACTTCTTTCACCGTCTTCTTTGGCTCCATCCATGCTCCTATTCCCAAGATATGAGAATCTTCTATCCTCAAGCTCTAATGAGGATCGCTAAGCTCCTGAAGAGAAGATACACCCGTATCATCCTCAAAGCACCACCAAACCAATGCGAAAACAAACGAGAAATAGATCCAAACTGAAAAAGACGAGATTTTTACCAAAAAGATCCCATCTTTATCACCAAACGAAGCCCTAGATGAACTTCCAAAGCGATCTACTCCTCCAAATAGCCCAAGCGTAGCCCGAGCTCTGATACCACTTGTTGTAACCGACGGCGGCACCGAGGAACCAAAACAAACGTCGATCCAAGAAGGCCAAAAATAACCAAATATCAATGCACAAACCAAACACCAATTTTAACGTGGCTCGGCAATTGCCTACGTCCACGGGACAAGAAGGGGGAGGGTTTCCACTAATAGAGAAGGAGAATACAAATTGAGATTACAAATCGCTCAAACGAACCAACTAATCTCACCAACAAATCTCTCAACCTCTCAACCAATAACCCTAATAAATAACTTAGAAAGATCTCTCTTTTTGTGCTCAAAATCCCCCAAAACGCACCTACAAAACCCTCAAATCGTATTGGTATTTATACCAAAACAGAAACCCAAACAGACTGCAAATAGGAACCTGAACTTTCCAAAAAACCCGTCGTAAGTCGACTTATCAGTCTGCATAAGTCGACTTGGCAGAGCGAAAAACGACAACTGGAGAAGAGATCATAAGTCGACTTATCAGACCTGATAAGTCGACTTGCCAGAGCACAAAATCAACAATCCAGAGCAGATCGTAAGTCGACTTACGACACAAACATAAGTCGACTTACCATAAGTCGACTTATACCTGTGCATGAGTCGACTTATGACCAAAAATCTGCTTTTTCGAAGTTCTTCTCCACATTTATTGCAAAAGTTTCTAATTTAGTAACAAAGTTTAGGACTTGAAGTTATTGAAGGATCTATTAAATTTGATAAATTTGATGTTGAGATGCATCAACTTTTGATGATAATGGATTGTAGATTCTTGTTGGATTGAATTTGAATGTGAAATTTAATGATTAATTCATATAATTCTTCTAAAAGAATTGATGAGCTTATATCATGTACTATCCAGTGATTTTGCCCAAATTACTGTAAGTTATTTTTATTGGAGAAGAATACTACGAACTTTCAATCGGTAAAACATAACACATACAGCAAAACCATATGATTGGTAATTCAGTGACAATACTTTATGATAGGTGACAATAGCGTAAAGTTCATTTAGTAACATTACCTGAAAATTCCTAGTAATCTTGTAAAACGTAGATTAAAGTAGAAGGTATTTAGTTCATGGGTTGAAGTTTGTGGTACTGACAGCTGATATAAAACTTTGTCGTATGTTTTTAGGGTAAATTACACTTGAATACCTAAAGTTTACCAGATATTGCCTCAGAATACCCAAAGTCTTAGAACCTACACTTATGTACCCAAATTTTCTAAAAGTTTAACTTTACTTAATACCCGTTGCAACGCAAACGTGAGAATTTCGCCCCGAAAATTTACGTGTGACACTCAGTTACTATTTTTAGAACATTTTAACCCTTGCTTTTTGTTAATTTGTCAAACTGCTCAGAATCCACTTTAAACCTAAAATATGACTTTTTTACAGATTTAACAAAAGGCAAGGGTTAAATTGTTCTAAAAATAGCATGTGAGTGTCGCATGAGAATTTTCAGGTTGAAATTCTCACATTTGCATTGCATTGGTTAATTAAGTGCAACTTTTAGAAACTGTGGGTATTTAAGTGTAGGGTTTTAAACTATGAGTATTTTGGTGCAATATCAGACAAATGTTGGGTATTTAAGCGTAATTTACCCATTTTTCCATGACTAAACTAGTTCAGGTGCTTTTATGCAAAATCCCAAATAGTTCATTGGTAGGTTTGTGAAAACTACTATTTATTTTATGAGGATTGATAGGGAATTTCTTTAAATTAAATTATTCTGCAGTTAAAATTCTTTCTGATGAGCATGAGCCCCAAACATATAGTGGAATCATGAGCGCTTGGGAAATATTGATTTTGGCTTCCGTTACTAAGATGTTCGGGGCATCAGTAAATGCAGAAGGCAACTGCTTGAATCTTATTTTTCTATATCTGTTTCCCCTTTTTAATGCAATTATTGTGTTAAAGAAGCCATTTAATTATGACAGATTGGTAAGTGGTTATTATAATTTTTGAATTTAGTGGAGAACAGAATGGAGAAATTGTAATTTATTTATGAAAATGAGGGCTTGGAGATTGTTGTTGCTTGTTACATTCATTTTGTTTTCTTCTATTACTCTACATTTTCCAACACTAACAGGAGGAGAGGGGGGGGGATGAGAATTTAACTGGTCCAACACTCCTGCATTGAAACTCAGAGATGTTGACACTCTGTTGTTTGATTGTACAATCATCTTTCTTTGTGGTATGATGACATTGCCTTACATGAAATATACGGTCTACTTGAAGCATCGTAACCCGTTGCTTCAAATAGCTATATCAATCTTTTTATTCTCTAATTTTCCCTCCTATCTCCTATTATCCTTCTCCTTCTCCCTCTTCAACTTCATGTACACCTAGCAGGACATGAATCTGGGGAGTTCTGTACGATTATAAAATTCCTGTCACTGTGGTGAAAACTTTGAAGCTGTGTAGAGGATTGATATACATTATACATTACACACACACATTAGATACATACATACATGTGCATGCAAATTCATATACATATACACATACACATGCACATATATATACACATATACATATGTACACACATATATGTATATACACGCACGTACATGTGTGTGTTCCGGCAAACACACATACATAGAAACATGCGCGTGCGCATGCACACAGCTAACATGTATCTTGTTTAGAATGAAACTGTTTCCATGGGATCTCCATGGCAAGACCAACGTTGTTCATTTTGTAAGCACATTCAAAATGTTCTGACTGTTCTAGTGAGTTGGTGCGAATGACACAAGTCACACAATATTTTAAACATGAAAAAGATATAGGATACATAACCTGTTGACTGTTTTATCGAGTCTAGGCTGTATATTTTCCTATGACATTCTTCCATTTATACAGGACTCTTAATGGTGAGAGAACTGTAAAGCGGTTGCGGTTGACTAAAGCCTTAACAATGCCTGAGAATTCAACAGTGTATGAGACTTGCCGACGAATGGCTGCTCGTGGGGTTGATGCTGCATTGCTAACTGATTCAAATGCTTTGCTATGTGGAATCTTAACAGCTAAGGTTAATATCTTTAAGTTTGTAAATTCTCCTTTGCAGAAGATCAGTCATTTTATTGCAACTCATGATCTTGTTTAAATGTTCTGCTGGACAAAGGATATAACAACAAGAGTTATTGCCCGTGAATTAAAGCTTGAAGAGATTCCTGTTTCCAAAGTCATGACAAGGAATCCTGTATTTGTTCTTTCAGACACTCTAGCTGTGGAAGCATTGCAAAAGATGGTATTAGGTCTGTAGCCATCTTCAATATATGGGCATATGTATATTTTTGTACAGTATGTAGTTTTTCTTGCATGGAAAATCGCAATATATATCCTTATATTTCAGGTAAGTTCAGACATTTGCCTGTTGTGGAGAATGGTGAGGTAATTGCTTTACTTGACATAGCAAAGTGTCTATATGATGCCATTGCACGGATGGAAAGGGCAGCTGAGAAGGGAAAAGCTGTTGCAGCTGCTGTTGAAGGAGTTGAGAAGCATTGGGGAACATCTGTTTCTGGTATCTTGATGCAGAAATTTTCTTAAATTAGTCTTTCATTTCGGAAAATTCATAATAATGAGATCATTCTCTTATCTTCCTTCATAACTGTGTATTTTTAATCCTAGCTCTTTCTTCCATGTACATGCAAAAACGATGATTTACACATTTTAAAATATATATTCTTGAGAAAGATTTATGTTTTCATTTTGTCCTTTCAGGTCCTAATACATTTATAGAAACGCTTCAAGAACGCTTGTTCCGGCCTTCATTATCAACCATCATATCAGGAAGTTCAAAGTAGGTAATATTATCACTTAGAGTTGTGTGTATCTATTTATTTATAATTGTGTACTTGCACCTGAACACCTAGACAAATATCTGATTGTTGGAATCATTTATTAGGGTTCTCACAGTCTTGCCAACTGACACAGTATTAGCTGCAACACAAAAGATGCTTGAATTTCAAATAAGTTCCGCTGTTGTGACCATTGGAAATAAGCTGCAGGGAATACTAACGTAATTTCCTCCTCTTTTCACATCTGCCTTTGATGGCTGTAAACTTAAAGCTGAGTTTTCTTTTCTTTCACTATAATTCTGATTCAGTTCAAGTGACATTTTGTTGCGCGTAATTGCCAAAAATCTTTCTCCAGAATCAACCTCTGTGGAGAAGGTATGTGTAAACTACATTGAGTTTATTATTATGATTTTCTTTTTATGAGTAGCAGTACGATTTTCTATCAAAATGCTTGATTCCATGATATTGTTCTTCCATCGTGTGAGTGTCTGCGCATGTGAATTTGTATATATTTGTGGATATGGATAAATGATAGATTTAACTATTTCTACTGGCAGAACAAAGTGGAAAGAAGTCTGAGCATTATAGTTCTTATTTGTATTCTTCTGATCTTTCCTTCTACATGTCAGCCATTTTGCCTTGCTTCTTATCTTATTGTTTCATTCAACTAAATATGGTTGGTAAGTTAGATAATTTAAAGAATGTGACTAGGGATATAGGTCAGTCTCTAATTTACTCAATACTGCATCACACCCTGGTTAATTCCCAAGTATTAACACAGTGTATAATTTGAGTCCATATACGAGCTTTACTAGTTCTATCGTTCTTCTCAGAAGAATGTCCTTCCTAATCTATTCCATCAAACCTTAGATGTTGGTTTTTAGGATTAGTTAGCATAAAACTAAGAGGCACCTTCATTATCACGTGCAGTGGTAATGTAGCTAGCTTCAAGGATGTTAAAGTAAGAGAGAGAATCTTAGGTAAATTTCCCTTGAATTGAATATTGAGTATGCACATATATTTATACAAGTAGAGGAGTGTGAGGTTTGTTCTCCCAAGCAATGTGGGACTAAAACCCACTACAATACACTATTATCAACAGCCCCTTCAAACTCATGTTGGATCAAACAAAGTGAGTTTGCGTACAAGAAACTGGAACCGATGAACAGGTAAGGCCTTTGTAAAGAAATCTGCAAGCTCGTCAGCGGATGAAACATGAGGAAGTAGAATTGTTTTGTCCTTGATAACTTGGTGACGGACAAAATGAGCATCGATCTCAATATGTTTGGTCCTTTCATAAAATACTGGATTATTAGCAATCTGGATGGCACTCTTATTATCACAGTAGAGAGGAGTAGGAGTCGTAACAGAAATGCCGAAATCGATGAATAATCTCTTTAGCTGTTGTGGACATTGCACGATACTCTGTCTCAGTACTGGAAAGAGCAATAACATCTTTTTTCTTACTTCACCAGGAAATAAGGGAATCACCAAGAAATATACAATAACCTGTGGTAGACTTTCTGGTAGTTGGATCACCAGCCCAATCAGCATCAGAATATGCACAAAGCTCTAACTTAGATGTAGCAGGAAACAAAAGTGAGCGAGTGCTAGTACCCCGGAGGTACCGAAGAATCCGTAATAAGACAGCATAGTGTACAGAACGTGGAGCACTAACAAATTGACTGACAATACCAACAACATGAGAGATATCTGGTCGAGAGATGCACAAATAGACCAATTGGCCAACAAGATGTCGATATCGGGTAGGATCAGATAGAGGCTCACCGTCAGTAGAGCAAAGTTTAATATTTTGCTAGAGTGAAGTATCGACAGTTGCATTATCAGTTAGCTCAGCTTGATTTAGAATATCTGAGAGATACTTTTGTTGAGACAGTAATACACCCCGCGGGCCTTGAGAAATTTCTAGACCAAAAAAATACCGAAGAGATCCAAGATCCTTCATGTGGAACTGTTGTTGCAACTGAGATTTTGCGTATTGTATACCTGTCATATCATCACCTGTAATGATCATATCATCTACATAGATGAGTAATAAAACCCTGCCACGCGATGTAGTGCGAACAAACAGAGAAGCATCTTGATGACTTTCTATAAAGCCCGCTTTGAGCACAACATCGCGAAAACACTCAAACCAAGCGCGGGGTGCCTGTTTGAGACCATAAACAGCACGACGAAGGAGACATACATGTCCCGGAGGAATATTTGACCCTGGAGGCGGTTGCATATATACGGTCTCTGATAAAGAGCCATGAAGAAAAGCATTTTTGACATCCATCTGGTATAAGGGCCAACGATGAGCAGCAGCGACCGCAAGGAGAGTACGCACAGTGGGCATCTGAGCAACAGGAGCAAATGTCTCCTCATAATCAATACCTTGTTGCTGAGTAAAACCTCGAGCCACTAAACGAGCTTTTCGACGCTCAGTGGTGCCATCAGGACGAAACTTGACCTTATAAACCCATTTACTGCCAACAAGAGAGATCCCAGGAGGACAGGGAACAACATCCCAGGTATGAGTTTGCTGAAAGGCTTGAAATTCCTCAGCCATAGCCTGTCGCCACTCTGAAATTTGAACTGCCTCTTGGAAGGACTTTGGCTCAACAATAGTATGAATGGCAGCAAGAAAGATATGAAAGATAGGTGAATAAGAAGTAACAGAAGCATACCGGACAGGCATGACATGTGGGCGTTTGCCTCGACGAAGAGCAAGAGGAACCTCAGGCGGGGGAGATGCTGGCACAGGTGCGTGGAGATCAACAGTATTTTCTGTAGTGAGAGTTGTGTCCACGGGATATGGATTAGATGGTGTAAGAAAATACTCGGGTGAGGAAGAGTCAACAGAAGGAGAGGGAGAGATGTCAGGGAGATCTCGAAAGGAAAATTAAGGTGAAGAAGTGGGTGATGCAGTTGACGGGGAAGCATGATCAGTAGAGTGGATGAAATTAAAGTCATCAGAAGCAGAATAATATGGAGAATCCTCTTCGAACTGAACATGACGAGATATATGAACTCGACGAGTTGCTGGATCATAACAACGATACCTCGATGTTCTGAACTAATTCCTAAATAAACACAAGAAACAGCTCTGGGAGATAATTTATCACGTTCGTGAGATGGCAGAAGAACAAAACATCGACAACCAAAAACGCGAACTAGATCATAACGGGGAGGGTGAGTATAAACACGACTATAAGGAGTAGCACCGGAAAGAGAGCTAGATGGAGTGATATTAATGGCATGAGTCGCGGTGAGAATAGCCTCAGCCCAAAAACGACGAGAAACAGAGTAAGAAATGAGCATTGATCGAGCAGTATCGAGGATATGACGATGTTTGTGTTCAGCAACACCATTTTGCTCATGAGTGTAGGGACGTGACTGTTGAAAGATAGTCCCATGAGAGGACATGATAGAGCGCATGGTAGAGGATAGGTACTCTTTGGCACAATCAGAACGAAAAACTTTAATACGAGATTGTCATTGAGTGAAAATCATAGCAGTGAAGGCTTGATAAGCAGTAAGTACGTCAGAGCGATTCTTAAGTAGGTAAACCCATGTAAAACGAGAGAAATCGTCGATAAAGCTAACATAATATAAGTAGCCAGATGAAGAAGGCAAAGGAGCTAGCCCCCAAATATCAGAATGTACTAAATCAAATAAGGAAGTGGATACAGATGTACTCATTTTAGATGGTAAAGCAGTGAATTTTGCCAATTTACAACCAGTACATGACTCAATACTAGAACTAGATGATACAGGACCCAGTACTCCAGACTGAATAAGACTCTCCAGTCTTTTATTAGACACATGACCAAGTCGTCTATGCCATAAATTGGCAGGAAGCGAGGTAGAGGGTTTTGACGAACGAAGAGAAGCAACAAGAGAACGTGGACGTATGGACTCTGGAAGGTGAAGATATTTCAGAAAATACAGTTTGTGCCTCCTACGACCCGCCCCAACCGTCTTGCCCGTCTGTGGATCCTGCACAATACAAGTATCAGAAGAAAATGAGACAAACAGGCCCGCCATGCATAAAGAGCTAATAGAAATTAAATTCAAGCACAATTGTGGAGCCACATAGACGGGACCAAGTGTTAGACGACCAGATGGATCATTTTGTGGGGTAATAGAGCCATACTGAGTAATGGACAATGGTTGTCCAGCAGCTGTGTAGATAGGAGGAAGAGAGGATGAAGTAAAGACAGAGGATAAAAGTGAGGCATTACAAGTCATATGAAAGGAACAACCAGAGTCAAAAATCCAGAGATCATTCATACCAGAGACTGAAGGATTAGCTGAAGAACCAGCAAAATGCATACCAGAGAGTTGTGCGGCGGATGTAGAGGTGATATGTTGAAAAGCATCAAGTTGACGGCGAAGACTTTCAATAGCTTGAATAGTAGAGTCTGAAGTAGTAGAAGGTATAGCATTGGCCAACAATCCTGGTGTACGAGAGGGTTGAGACTGAGGGGGTCGCCGACCACGTCCAGTACCTGAGGAACGTAACTCAGGATGAAGCTTGAAGCATGTCTCAATGCGGTGTCCTTCCTTCTTACAATATTTGCAAGAGAGCTTAGATCGAGCCTGTGGAGAGGGAGCCTGTGGAGAAGTATAATTCATAACAGGAGCAGTGACAGGTACAGACAAAACAGTCTCGAGTGAAGAGGTAGGAGTGTCTGTTGACAAATTGAGTCGTGCTGTCTGCTGCCGGGTCTCATAAGCAGTGAGAGCTCCCATAACTGAGGCCAAAGTCGGAAATTGAGGCTGATGAAGTAGTTGATCAGCCATAGTTGAATATTCAGGAAGGGACTGAAGCAGTTGATGCACCTCATGCCGTTCATACCAGGCTAGCCAGTCTTCATATGTGAAATTACGTCCAGGAAGCATGGAGCATAACTCTGTCCAAAAAACTTGTATTTGTCCAAAATGGGACTGCAGAGATGAACTATCTTTGCGTTGTAGAGCAATGCGTTGCAGAAGATATGCCTCCCGTGCACCCGAGCACTCAGTGAAACGCTCAGTGAGACGAGTCCACATGGCCCGAGCAGAGGGAAGCGAGCCAATCTCGACAGTGAGACCAGAGCCAACACAGCGAGTGAGATAATCCATGACACGAAATTCCTGTAATTGCCACTCTGAACTCTCCTTGACATAGAGAGCACGAGCAGTCTGAAGATCGACATTACCACTGTCAGAGGCAATAGTACTGGATGAAGCAACAGTACTGATGGACGGTGGAACTGGTCCCGTACTAGTGAGATGATCAAGCAAACCAGCGTCACGCAAGGCATTAGTGACAATGGTGGACCACCCTGCCCAGTCACTTTGATCATTGAGGGGCAAAGGTGGTTTGG